GGACAAAAGAAGAAAAACATTGGAGGGCGGTCGCCTCTGTGATGTAGGCACTTAATAAATATAAATAGCACAATTTTCCTCTTGGATAAAAGGAACACACCATGGTGACAAGTGTAATCCATAATCTAGGTACTTAATAATTATGGGTGGCTGGGCAGATTAGCCTGTGGGTGGAATATGGGAATGTGGTCGCCATGAAGGTCTCCTGTCTACAAAGACAGGGAGTGTAATTGACTGACAGCTGCAGCTGCCTTGCTCTGAAATCCATCAACGTATGCATGCTGATGCTGAGCAGTTTCTCACACACTGCTCCTAACAAATAACTGAATGTGTCAGGGATGCTAAGGCAAGCCCACTTCTGGGAGCTGTAAGACTTCTCTGATGGATGACTTTGATGGACTTTCTAACAACTCCACTGGACTCTTTCACCCAACCTTCCTTCCTTCCAAAGGGTCAGACCTACATCATGGCGTGAGGGCTCTCTGAGTCTCCCTCAGCATCCTCTCTGTTTTCCTTCACAGGCATTTTCCCTAATAAATCTTTGCATGTCTAATCCTACTTGGTGGCTGGTTCTCAGGAAGACCAGAGGACTAACACAGGGAATGACATAATTCTCCGTAGCCCAAGGTCAAAGTTTTGAGGGAGGGAGAAAGAAGCAGCTGTCTGCCACTTTCTTTATACTCCATTCCTTCTCTTCATCTCCATCAATCCCGTCCTGTAGTCCAAACCTCTTCCCTGGACTCCTGCAAAAGTCTCCTAATGGTCTTCCAACTTCTCCCCTTGTTTCTCTCCACTCCAGCCCCCACACTTCAGCCAGACTGATGATGTTAGAACACAAATCTGATCATGTCATTCTCTGGCTTAAACACTTCATAGCCCTCATTGTCCTCTGGATAAAGTCCAAACTCTTTTCTGGTCATAACAGTAGTCTAATAATATGCATTTGACTTATTGAGAGCTCATGTTGAACCAGCCCCAGCTCTAAACATGTTATATGCATGAACCCGTTTAATCCTCATAACATCTCCTTGAGCTATGTACTATAATTTCCCCCATTTTACAGTTGAGGAAATTGAGGCACAGAGAAGTGAAGTGACTTGCCTAAGGTTGCTAAGCTCATAAAAGGTGGAGCCAAGATTCCAACCGAGACAGTCTGATCTAATGCTCATGCTCTTAACCATTAAAATAGACCAACTCTCTCCCAAATGCCTGGTCCAAGTCTGCTGTTTGGCTTTTGCTTTTGTGATGGGATTTATTCTGCAGAACTTTTAAATTTTTATGTGGTCCAAATTTATCAGTATTTCTTTTCATAGTTTCTAGAGTTTCTGTCATGCTTTACAAAGGGGCTTTCCCGCTCCAAGTTTAGAAAGCAAACTCTCCCATGGCATCTTCTAGTTTTTCCATGGTTTCAGTGTTTTAATTTTAAATCAGGGATCAATCTGGAATTTAATTTGATGGAAGGAGTGATATATAGATTTAGCTTTAGATTTTTTTTCAAATGGCTAGCCAATTCTTTCAACACTAGTCATTGAATAACACAAATTTTTCCTACTGATCTAAAATATTATCTTTATCATATACTAAATTTCCAAATATATTTGGATCTATTTCTAGACTCCATGTTGTTCCATTCAAAAACACAAATCAGGTTATTCTCCAACTTAAAACCTTTCAGTGATTTTCATGGGCCCAAGTAAAAATGTAGTGGCTCACAGTCTTCTCTGAATGTCAAGCAGATCTGAATTTCACTCTACCTATGTCCTGTGTGGCCTTAGGCAAGCAACCTAACCTCTCTGAGCCATATCTATCAGTAACATGGTTATTGTAAGGATTTGGCTTTGTTTGGGGAGGGAGTAAGGCATGTTCCAGGAAACAGACCACAATATCTAGACTAACACTGTTCAGTAGAACTTTCTGTGAATATGGAAATGCTCTGTAAATCTATGCTGTCCAATACAGTGGCCACTATCCACGTGTAGCTCGTTTGATTGAGGAATTAAAATTTTAATTTAATTAATTTAGTGTAAATGGTCACATGTAACTAGCAGCTGCGATATTTGACAGGTCAGATCTAGATCCCAGAGAGGGAGAGGAGGAAGGTGTGTAATAGAGGCTAGACTGTGGAAGGCCTTGTGGGCCTCTTTAGGGACTTGAGTCTTTATCCTAAGAGTAATAGGAAGCCATTAAAGGCTTTCAGTGGGAAGGAGGAAAGTGACCAACAGATTTGAGTTTTGGAAAGATTGCTCTTTAGAGGACAAGAGAGAATGTGGCATGTTGCATTAGGGTGGATGCTGCATTAGGCTGTGGGAGATGATGATCACTTGATCTAGGATGGTAGCAGTAGAGAGAAATGGATAGACTCAAGGGATATTTTGGATTTAAAATCAGTAGGATTGGGGTGATGGATTGGTTATGAGGGGTGGAGAAGAGGGAGGTGTTAAAATGATGCCTGGGTGTTCTGGCTTTGCTCAGATGGGAGATGGGAGAGATAGTGGCACCATTCATTGAGAAAGAAATGCTGGAAAAGGATTTGGAGGGGAGATTATGACTTTAGGCTTGGAATGTTGAGACATCTGGTGATGGATATAAAGATCTGGAGATTAGAGAAGTCTGGCTGGAGATAGAGATTTGTAAGTCATGGGTGTATGGATGATAATTGCTGATGCAGGGTGTGGAGGGAGAGCATGGAGCAGAAGAAAATGCAGGGCAGAGGACTGAGCCTTAATGAATGACATTTACTGGTTAAGGAAAGGAGGAGGAGCTTACAATGGAGAATGGTTAGAAAGGCCAGACAAACACTGAGAGACTGTGATTTTGCAGAAACCACTTAGCTCACAAGTGGCAGAACCAGAATTGGTACCCAAAGCCCTTACAGACATGCATAGTCCACTGTTTTCAACTAGAGACCCCTCACTAGCAATAGGATCAAAGTCCTACCTGTTTGAACACCAGAACACTGTCCAGGGTGACGTGGAAACGCCC